TGGCAGCGGCAGCAGACAGACCTGTGAGCTTGGGCCTGTTCATCCTTTGGGCCTATGTTTCCACATATGAGGAGGGGGTGACCCTTACGGTCTGAGGGGTCAGCTGTCTGAGGCAACAGTGGCCTCTCTGACAGCAAGTCCCTCCCCAGTGCCCCTTTAGTCCTGGCCACTGAGCCAGTCCCAAGAGCCCAGGCCTGCAGAGCCACCACCCCACTAGTGGGGACAGAGGCCCCACCCAGCACCCTCTACTGTAAATCCTAACTCTACTTGCCCCTCAACATCTCTGAATTGTGAACTTCTGGGATTTCATTAGAAAGTGCTTAGCAGGCACTGAGGTTTGGGCTAGGCAGGATGCAGCTTCCACCAGGAGGCTGGGGCCACGGCCCATTGCAGTGGCCAAGTGAGTCTGGAATATTCCAAAGGCCCCGTCATTGGGGCAAAGTCAGGAATAACAAGGGTCCCAGCAGCAGCTGAGCTCCAGGACCGCACAGATGGCTGCTGAGTCTCAGAAGTGTCTGTGGGTCAGTCTGGGTCCTGGGGTGGGAATGGGGCTCATGAGGTCTGGCAAGTGTCCACCCATGTCTGGGTTCCTCAGATCCTGCTCCTGATGAAACAGTCTCTGGGGGACTGCAGGCTGACGAAGCCCCCACCTCAGGACTGTAGAAGTCTGACGGTCTCTGTCTCACTGTATTATGGGTGCCCCAGCTTTCTCAGGCTGTCTCATTTTCCTGGCATTTCAGGTTCAGACAGGGACTATTCCAGGCCAAAGCACAGTTACTCCTTGATGAAGTGCAGGAGCCATGTGGAGGTCGGCGGCCAAAGGAAACCCCCGCTTCCCTAGGGAGCAGGCAGCCTGCAGACCTCCTGGGATCCAGACACCCCCTCACATCAGGACTGAAGTCCAGGCCAGCCTCTGCCCTCAGGACCACGTGGAGGGAGATGAGCCTCCACTCTCCAGGCAGAGGAGGGCTGGACACTCCTGGAGGTGGCCAGGCCAGGCCAGGCCATGGCTTAACTTGTGCGAACACTGTGCCTTCCAGAGCCAAAGCCGGCTTAGTCTATTTTAAATACAGCAGGTAGACTTCAGTGGGAGGAACTGATGCCTCATGGGGCCCTGGGCAGGCCCCCAGGAACCCTGCTCTCCTCAACCTGTGTCTCTCTGCAGAGCTGTGGTCCTGTCTCACTTGTTTCTGCCAGCTTCTCTCTGATAAATTTTTTGGTTCCCTCAGCTTGGTGTGCATGGGATCTATCAGGCAGTTCCTGTGTGGTGCCCCTGCCTGGTGCCCACATCATCCTGCTCCAGAGCAAGGCGCTGCCTTCATGTTTGTGGCGGGAAGCCCCTAGATGGGCTGGCCCTTTACCCAAGACTCATTGCTTTCCAGGCAGGCTGCCCCACACCAGCCCCTGGAGCTGCGAGAGCTCAGCTCCAGTTCCTGGGTGGAGTTCACACCTCAAGTTTGGGCCTGGGTTCCCCCGCGGTGTACCCCAAGCCTGCGTCCCCCATTTTGCAGGGGCTGGGCTACTGCCCCACAGTATCTCATGCTGCAGCCTCAGAGTGGGGACTTGCGGTTGTGACAGGCTGGAATTGGGGCTTGGTATGAAAAATAGCTGGTGGTGAGGCATTCACACCTGCTTGGATTTCACACTGTTGTGATTCAGGATTAGCAGGAAGGCAAGGCAGATCATATGTTGCTGTCATTAGAGGCTCTCATCCCCTGGGGCCAGCCCTCTGTCCTGCCCTTCCCTCCTTCCTGCCCTCTCCTTTTCCTCTGGGTTGGGCCTGCCCTTCCTTAGGAAGCTCCGAGCCACAGCTGGTGTGTGTGTCAGTGGCAGGATGTGCCTTCCTGAGTGTGGTAGCCTCGAAGTGCCTGCCCCCCACCTCTGCTCATGGGTTGAGGCACAGCCACCCCTCGGTGGGAGAGGGCTGTCCTGTGGACAATGCTGGGTGGCATCAACAAGCAGTGGACACTTAGGTCTGTTTGGGGTTGGAACATTTGTGAGACCACATATCTGGGCACTTTGAAATGTGTTCTACTCGTAGGATCTCTCGTGCCACAGTGGGGCACAGCCCTGTGCAGTCATGGGGTTGGCGGCCACAGAGAGTGCGAGATGCCAGGCTGGATGCAGAGCAGCTCCAGATAGAACTCAGTGCCTGTTATCCAAAATGAGGTCTGTGGGCCTGCAGAAGCAGAGCCACTGTGGTGCATGTGTGAAATGCAGACCCTCAGACCCCATTTCCTGCCTCCAGAAGCAGAGCCTCCTCTCAGGATTGGTACACAACTGTGGCTGCAAGTACTGGCCTAGTCCACCAGCTCTGCATCCTGCCTGGGGGGCTTGAAGATGTTCCCCTGTCTGGGCACCCTCCACCCACAGATTCTCACATAATCAATTGGGATGTGGCCAGGGCATCGGGATGTTTAAAAGTTCCCACATGCAGCCAAGAAGAGAACCATAGTCAGGAGGGAGCCTGGAGGAAATGGTGTCAGGCTCTCTGACCCACAAATGCTCCTGCCTCCACGAGGAATGTCCTGAGACCTGGCCTGGACTAAGGCAGCAGAGGGATCCTGGGCTGGAGCCATGCTGTCCTTTCTCCAGGCAGACCTGATGAAGAAGTTTCCTTTCCAAACCAAGATATTCCATCTTATTGGGAAGGTACCGCAAAATGGGCTCTGATTCCCCTGACCAGAGCCCCGTTCTGCCAGCTACTTCTGCAGAGCCCACGCTCCTGGTGTTCCTGTGTGGGTAGAGAGGTGGCAGTTCCGGGAGAGGGCTGCTAGGACCCTCTCCTCTTGGCCTCAGGGACTGTATGTGGAGGTGATGTGTTCCTTCAGGCATGAGCTCCCAGAGCCCAGGCATGATTTTCTGTGCTGGCTTCTCCTCTCAGAGGTAAGCCCTCCTGCTGGTAAACCTTCCCTAGATGGAGGGTAATCAGGCCCCATCCCCTGACCAGCCCCCACCCTGGTCAGCTGGTTTTGTACAGAAGACAGCACCATCCCATTGTGAACACAACCCTTACCCAGCAGGAGAAGGCGGGTGGGTCCCCTCACAACCACTTCCCCTTGTGGAAGACAACTGGCTCACTGAACAGATTTCTACTGCATTACCTGCCACTATTCCAGCTTCCGAGGGCAAAGGTGAACAGGACAGGCAAGATCAGGTCCCTGCCCTATGGAACTCACCTTCTGAGGTCATAGGATACAGGCAAAAAACAGTGCTGCTGAGGAAGGCCACACCAGGCAGTGGGTGTGTGGGGGCAATGGGGGACTAGAAAGGATGGAGCTCTTGAGGAGGTGACCTGAACTGAGATGGGAATTGGGACAAGGAGCCAGCCATATAAGGGGCCTGGGAAAAGCGCTGCAGGCCTGGGCACTCTGGCATGCCCCAGGAACACAGGGTCCGCATGCTGCCCAAGGGTCATGAGCAGTCCTGGTGGGGGCAGCAAGGCTGGAGGGAGTGGTAGGGGGCTGTGCACAAATGGGCTTTGACAGTGCTGGGAAGCTCTGAGAGGCTTGTACCATGAGACTGACCACCCCACCCAGACACCTCATCAAAGCCCACTAGGCTCTTGGCAGAGGAGGTGGGACTGGTGATGAGCAGGGTGGTGGCAGTGAGACAGAGCCAGCACATGCCAGGGAGCACTTTGGACACAGGACAGATGAGACTCACAGTGCTGGCTGTGGGGACAGGGAGAAATCAGGGCAGCTCTGGAGCTTTGCGTTGAGAAGGTTCAAATACCACTAAACCCTGGATGGTAACATCTCCAAATGGAAATTGGCAGTTTTCCTAAGAGTTCTTTCTTAATGCAGCAGGGTAGGGGTACAGGGACCTTGGGCCTTGTCCCCTCATGTTGTCTTTTGCTGGGAGGAGGGAGCACGTGGCCCCATGGTGAGTTTAGGAAGGAGGGGCCAGGGCTCCTCTGTCCGCCCCCTGCCAAGTGGCCAGAGGCTGTGCTCTGTTACTACTGGCCTTGACATGTGTGCTCTGGCATTCACCAAGCTGCAGAAGGCCAGGGGGTTAATTTTCCCTGCCTGCCTCTATGCAAGAAGTTAGAAAATGCTGAGCTCTCGGGTGTCCAGTTTTGCGAGGAAGGGCTCCCACAGCTACATTGGAAATGGGATTGCCCTGCTCTCAAAGACATGGGACTCTTCCCTATGCTGACTGACAGGCCAAGGCTGCTCAGAGAGGCTCTGAAAGGCCCACGTGACAAGCTTGGGTGGAGTGCAGAGAGAGCTGCTTATTCCCTGAGGAGCAGGGCTTGCCCAGTGCTCAGCTGCCTCTTCCCAGGAAGGACATCTGTTCTCACTTCTGCTCTCAACACCTTGAGGGGAGAATGACCACAGAGTGAGTAAATGATTGGGGAAGATATGGGGTAGACAGGTGGGACACAGAAGACAGGTGTTGTGTGAAGCTGTGCAGCCATCACTCCTGTGGCCCCAGGTCACCACCCTTGGTTGCTGACTTTGAATGTGGGACTGAAGCAGCTACATGACATAGTTGTAGGAATGGGTTTATTTTCTCTTCTGAAGTCTTTCCTTTTGTCCTTTCATCTTTAAACAAACAAAAAATGAACAGAAATCCCTATGTTAAAAAAACATGTACAGTTGACCCTTGAACAATGCATGATTTAGGGGTGCTGACTCCCTGCACACTCAAAAATCCACATGACACTTTTGACTCTCCAAAAACTTAATTACTACTAACAGCCTTACCAATAACACAAGGAGTTGATTAACACATATTCTGTATGTTCTATGTATTATATACCCAAGAAAATCAGATATTGAAATGATCAGATATAGATTATAAAATGCATATGTTTAAAATTATTGCATAAACTTAAAACTAAAATTGAAATGTGAGAAAGAAACAAACTTACTATATTGAAAAAAATACCAGGTCAATTAAAAAATTATTTACTTTTAGAAATAAAATAAAATAGCCAGAGAATTTTAAAATGCATCAGAAAAAAATAGTTGCAAAAAAGAAAAGAAAACTACTTGCCTGGAGGATAGATCTGAAGAAATTACTCAGAATCTGGTGCAGAGAGAAAGGAAATGTAAAATATTAAACAAAATTATTGACATAGAGGATAGTTTGATATGATCTAACATACATTAATTGTAGTTCAAGAAATAGACTGTAGGTCAGGAGAGAGGTAATATACCAAGATATTTCTTTTTCTGAGAATGTTCCCATATTGATGAAACAAATGAATCTTTAGATTCTTTGGAAACAGCGACTCCACACAGGTTAAATGACAGTGTTCGTTTCTGAGATGCACAGCAGTCACCCAGGCTCACTCAGGTCCTCTTCATTCTTAAGCCACATACAGCAGCAGCTATAAGCACAGCAAGGATACTTTGCTTTCTGTGTTTTCAAGCTACTTTAGAGATATGGTCTAGGAAGGTGCAAAGGCACAGGTGGGAAGAAGTTGCACGTCAGATGTTAAGGGACTGGCTCAAGGCCAGTGTGCTTGGCAGCAGAGGAAGCCTGAACGCCTCTTCTCTTCCCTGGCCCTTCCCGCTTTGCACTCCCAGGAGAAAGGGATTTTGAAGCGGCTCCAGCTATGGTTGCACTGTTGCAAGGCTCCTAGGTTGGGGCTGGAACGTTCCCGATGTGGGAGGGTCCCAGGCTGCAGGGTCAAGCACCTCGCACCTGCCCTTCAGTCCCTGAGTAATTGGATGTGGCCCTGCTTCCGCGGGAAGGAGCTCTCTGTTGGGTTGGGGGAGGGGCTGGGGGTCATGGAGCAACTTGGACAGAGGGTCTGGCTGCTCCTGCCCAGCTTCTGAAGGTCAAGTGCATTTGGCTGTTTGTGGAGGGAGTGCCGTGTGTGAGTGCAGGACAAGTGCCTCTCCCCAGTCCCCAAGGCCCTCCTGCCTCATCTTCCTGCAATGGAAGGGCCTGACGACGTTGGTTCTGTTTGGAGAAGAACCAAAAGCCTGAGACAGACATACAGCTCTTTGTCTCCTACTTCCTGTCTCTGCGAGATTTTGGTGTGGCTGCGAATTCTACCACGGGCTGTGGGCTGTAGTGAAAGAAGAACAAGGTCAATGGGAAGCTATGTGTTCCAAACTGGTTCTGTCACTTGGTTTCTGGGCTTTGTTTTCTTAATGAAGAGGTTGTTTCTGAGCAGGAACAGAGTGCGGGTGCCTGAGGGGGATGGGGATTTGCAAAAGTGATTGAGGAGAAGTTCAAACTTGCCATTGAGGTTGTCACTGAAACCTCAGAATTTCTCAGAAACAATAAAGGTGTGAGTTTTCACTCATGTCAGAATGGGACGTCGGTGAAAGAGACTGGAAATACATGGCAGGAAAAGCTTGTTGGTGCCTATGATGGGTTGAATTGCATTACCCCAGAGAAGATGGTTGAGGTCCTGAACCTGGACCCTCAGAAGCCCCGCCCATGTGGCCTTACCTGGCAATGAGACCTTGCAGATGAGGTGACATTTCAGCGAGCCAGGAAGTACAAACAGAAAGTGCCTGGCAGAGAAGCAGAAGGGCAGGATCAGTGCATGGGATCATGGAAGGAAGAGGGATGGGGCATAGGGTGAGTGCAGGTGGGAGGCGGGGGTGGGCTTCGGGATGCAGGGAGGCCACAGAGGATCCTGGATGCCATGCAAAGGAGCTGCATCTGACCCAGCTGAGCACACCACTTGATCCTCATGCAAATGGGCACCTGGATGCTCCACCTTCTCTTAACCTGGTGCCTTAAGAAGCAGGAGGAGCAACCGCCAGAGGGGCACAGCAGACCCCAGAGCAGCCCTCTTCACTCACGTGTGGGCAGGTGTGCCCTGACATTCGTGGGGCCCAGCACAAGAGCCACACACACAGCCCTGTTCCCTCAGGTGTCCTAAAGCCTATTTACATGCATTCCTGCTGTTTGTCCTTTTCCTTTTTCGTGGTTCTGTTTTCGAGGATCTGGGCATGAGCCAGAGCTGGGCAAGAGTGGCCAAACCAAGCAAGTGGATCACCACTAGCCTCTGGCCCAGCCTCCTCCCACTGGAACTGGGCCTGAGATAGGTCCTGTCTTTATGTTCTAGGCGTCTCCCTGGACAGATGGGGGGCAGCCTGGGAGGGTGGGGATCTCGGCTGGGCCTTGCACACTGAAAGCAGATTTATTCCATCTCTTAACTTAAGTATTTGTCCTGGGCTCTCTTAGGGAATGCTTCTGTGTGGGACTAGTCTATGACTACACCCCAGACACAGTGCCTCAGCCCAACACCCATCTGGCCACCTGGGTGCTGGCCCCTGGCGGGTCCTGCTCCAAGGCAGGCCTCCTCTGGGTCTCCCCTCATCTTGGGCCTCCAACATGTGGGTGGAAAGGTCGGCCTGGCTCACAAATGCTGGATGTGCCCCCCTGGGAATTTGTCCGTGGTTATTACACCAGGTAGATGTGGGATTTGATTCCATGGCTGCAATGCCTGAGGGGCTCTGAGGGACAAATCCACGGAGAAAGAGGCCCAGAGGAGCAGGAACTTGCTGGTTCCTCACCACACCCAGACGCACCAGCTGGGGGCTCGGGACCTGTGTGTCTGTGCTGGGCCTGAAAGGACCTGGATCCCCCAAGCTCCTCATCTTACAGAAGGAGGCTGAGGGAGGGGTTGCCCAAGGCCACACTCAAACAAGGTTTCAGTACAAGTTTCTCAGTGTTTTCCCAGATGATGGGATCTGCTTGTCCAAATGGACCCACACCAGATAAGGGAAGCCCTGGCAGGAGCAGGCGGGATGCCGTCAGGCTTCCAGACAGCAGCCTGCTGTTGGGGCCCAGGGAGAAGCTGGCAAGTATTCCCACAGAACACAGAGAAGGTGGCATGAGGGGAGAGCCCAAGGCTTGTGGAGCAGCAGTGGCAGGTGCTTGGATGGGCTCCCAGGACCCGGGAACTTCCCATTGCCCCAGGCTGACCTGGAGCAAAGAGTGTCTGATTCTAGATGCCCTAAGCCCAGGCTACTCAGCATCAATACCCCTCCTTCTGGTCCTGTGAAGGACACAGCAAATGTCCGGTGATGCCTACCTTAAATAGCATTCCCATCACCTGACTTCTGCCTCCCCCATTGGTCCCTTTCTTTGTGTCCTGCTCAGCAAAACTTCCAGGAGCCTCTACTTCTCCCCCATTCACCTCCTCCCACTCCCTCTCTTTTTTCTTTTTTGACTTCTTTTTTTACAGTCACATACATAAAGCACACATATCTTAAGGTGCAGCTCAGTGGCTTTTTATAGACATGCAGCCAGATGAAGACCACACAGTGCTGGCTCCCAGGAAGGCTCCTCACCCCCCCTGGTCAGCACCCGCTCAGCCTGCCTGCCTGGTGAAGCCTCACTTCTGGACTCTGGCCAGCATCTGGGGCATCAGCTGGTGTCCTTGCACAGAGAAGCCATGTGTCCTGGGACATTTCCACAAGGAAGAGGAAGTGCCCTGTGGAGAGGATGTGGCTGGGTGTGTGGGTGGACCCCGCCCCTGAAGACACCCCAAGGGAAGGCGTCCCAGGGAGAGCACTGACACTTGGAGGGAACCCGAGGGGAATCCATTTGGGGCCTGTCAGCAGTGAATATGTCTTCCTGCCTGTACCAGCAAAAGAGCACTTGAAGTTTATTGGGTTTTCCTTAATACTCAGTTTTTCCAAAATGTACAGGTGGAAGCATAGCTTGGATTAATCCTTGAAGTCTAATAAGCAAACCATTTTGTTTGGGGGATATATTAGGAAATTTGATGTTAAAATGAAAATCATATGTTCTCAGATTCATGGTCCATTAGTTCTGTGCATAAAAGAATAAATTCCCCTAAAAGTAAAGTTTCACATGCTTACCTCTGTAACTGAGTGAATTCCATTCAGCATGCTGAGTTACCATTCCAAATGCTTCATTTGTCAATCATTTATTTGTTTCCCTATTTCTGTTTTAACTTTACGCTTCTTCTTTTAATGGGATTTTAAATCAGTTAAATGAAGCAGTGCAATATGTGGTTTTCTATTCTCCCTGTGTACCTTTATCTGTTTTGTGTTCACTTTTCTGCATTTTGAAGGCTGTTCTCTAGGCACTCTTCCAGAAATGCTACTTCCCAATTAAAAACTTTCCTTTGTGTCTAATGCTTTTATCTTACTTGAGAATGGCCTTCTGTCAGGTATTGAGTTCCTAAGAAAACCTAAACACTGGCTCCATCACTGTCGCATCTTGGCCATTGGGAATCTTGTGCCAGTGAACCTGTGGTCCCTTTGTGTGAGCCTCTTGTTCTCATTCTCCTGTCTCTTGGAGACCTCCCAGGAATCGTTCTCTTTTGAAGAAGTCCAGAAATGAATGCGTTTCTGTCTTGGTGTGTGTTGATTTTTCCTGTTTTCTCTGCACTTTTCAGGCCTCTTTTAATGGCACAGTGAGTCTTTTCTTAACATTGGCAATTTTTCTTCTCTTCTTGTTTGATCAAAGGGTTGAGCCCATGTGCTTCCATCCCCCCAGGCTAAATTCAGAGTTCCAAAGCTTCTAAGGGTGGGAAGCAACCACGTACATTTCTAGTGCTCTATCAGGAAAATCTAGTGGAACAATCACTGTGAACAGGAGCCATCTTCACGCTGACGATGCTTTCTCCAACACTGGAGGAGGAGGCCTTTTGAAAATAGGGCTGCTGGGAGATTTGAGGAGTGTGATCCCTTAAGGTGAGACTACAGTTCTGCCTGAAGAAGTGAAAACTTGGAAATTATGAGTTCCAACAGGCTGTTCCAGGGAATGCTGCTACGAGTGACACTGGCAGCAACTGGAAGCAGAAGCCCTGACTCCATGGCACAGTTTCGGGACTGGACAAGGGGCACATCCTGCACAGCCACTGGCCCAGTGCCTTCAACTCCTACCTGGGAATTGGGGACCTGGACAAGGACCCCGTGGCTGCCCTTGGCCATGACCCTTACATCAGCAGGTGTGTGAGTCAGGAGTCCCAGGAGGTTTCTGAAGGCTCTCCTCTGTCCCCAGCCATCAGTCCATGTCTCTTGACATGGGTAACAAGTTTCCACATCCTTGTCATTAGACTTCATACCACATAGAATATGAATGTTCTTGGGATGTAGGAGAAGGGAGCAGGGGAAATGCCACTGGAAAAGGAGAGATTTCATTGGGGAGAGGGAGGAGCTGGAGCCATTAAAGGTGTTGTGTGAAGGTATAGTGGATACTCTGGAGACGGGGCAGCGGGGGGAGAGACCTGAGACCCCCATGGGCTTACTAACCCCCAGCATGGATGTGAGGAAGCCAGCCCCTGTGTGGCCAGCAGCCCTGCCATTTAAGTCCTCCTGCAAGGGACTGTGTACTTGTAGGAGTGCTTGTGGTGACTAAGGGGTCTGTAGGAAAGTTGGAACCTTCCACACTGATGTCCAGAACTGCATTTATGGTATTTGTCCTAGCTAACAGCAAGGGGATCCTTTACTCTATTTAGTATGGTTCTTGGCAAGATGGCTTAGAAAGCTGAAAACAAGTTCTGTGATAAATAATGCCTTGTACCAATGTCTCCTCCTGTATTTGTTACATTTTCCACCTTATATACATGTTTTTTCACCTTATAAATATTATATATATTTGCTCCACATAAAAAGCTCATATAGATATGGATTAAAGATGGTGGCGTGAGAGGAGAGACAGAGGCTTCCTCCTAAAACTGGATACAATTAGAAAATATAGTTGATGCAACTAATCCTGAGAGAGCAACAGGAAAGAGGATGGTGACAGACTGCATACACCTGGAGAAAAGAGCAGACCTCAGGGAACAGGGTAACATACCAAAGCTGTGACCTGGCAGGGCCCAAGCCCCTCCCCCAAAAGAAACAGAGCAGAGAAGGAGTGGAGGCCTGGGACTGCTGAATACCTAGCTCTCTGGAGATCTGTGCTGGGAGCACAAACCTACATTTCATGGTGCTCTCATCGTACTCTCATGATTACAGGGTTGGAAAGCTGAGACAGGCAGAGTTCCTGGGGAGACTGGGATTCAGGCCGCTTGTGGAAAGCAGGGATCCATATCCAGCTGCTTTAGGACAAAAGCTTATACCTGTGGGCTTGGCCCACTGGTTCAGGCAGTGTAGACAGGCACAGCAGCTGGGAAGTAGGAAACAGCTATTTCCTCCTCCCATGCACCAAAACTGCTCCCCTGCGACCCCGATATTGCTTCAGGGACTGAGCAGCTCCAGAATAGAGCTTCTAGACACTAGAGGACACCATATACAAATATGAAATGCCAAAGGAACCTGGTCCAGAGTAAAATTAATATAACTCTGGAGAAAGATTTAAATGACATGGACCTTGTGTGACTCTTCCTGAAAGGGATTTCAAAATAAAAATCATCAACATGCTAATGGAGGTACAGAAAGATATCCAAAACTCAGGAATGAACTCAGGTCGGAGATCCAATCATTGAAGAGCATGATGGAGGGTATAAAAAGCAGGTGGGACAAAGTGGAGGAGATGATAAATGAAATAGAAACTAGAGAAGAGGAATACAAAGAAGCTGAGG